CAGGCCCAGCCAGACATAGAGGATGGCAGCGAGGCCTAAAGAAAATAAAAACTTCGGCAACATAGGAGTGGAGATGCTCAGGCATCTTCACCCCTAAGCACCAGCAATATAAAACTAAAACTGAGTTGATGCTGACATAGGGTGGCCCTGAGCGGGTTTTTCACAGGAGCGCAAGGGCCGAGATGCGCTTCTAGTGGGGGCACCCTTGCAGAGTGAATTTGCGTGGATTTGAACTCAGGTCTCCTGAGGCCTAGCCCCATGCTTTATCCTTGGCGCCACCCGTGGGGAAGTGAAATGGCGAACGGCAGGCCTCTGTGGCTCGGTTTATTGCAAAACTAGGACTCTTAAGAGATGGACGTGTCATCTCCTCGATGGAAGGGGAGATCTGGAAATCAAGGGGGCCCAGCAAAACCTTGAATCGCTCGCCCCGATGGATGGAGTTCAAGGGGGTCCCTTTTCTGGCTGAGCTTCCTGGAAGGGACTGGTAGCTCTGCACGGACAAAAAAGGGGGGGTCTGTGTTTTCAACATGGAGGTTCAAATTTTGCTTCTTTTGTGCTCCCCCCTCCAAGAAATCTCAGGATGCCCAAAGGAAAGAATTAGGTACCTCCCCCTATTGCCCCAGCCTGCTTGCTCCCTCCCCCCCCAATATATTTTGATGTGATGTCTGGGGTTGTCCTGGGCCCCTCCCCATTGAAAAAAAACAAACAAACCCAACTCTCTGTTTGCAAAAAAGTGACTTTTTGGCTTTTTTAAAAAAAAATCTTTTTTTCATCAGGGAGGTCGAATAAGGTCAGCTCCACCTGCCCACTATTTATCTCCTTACCATAGGCTTAAAATTAAATAAAGGTTAACTATCTCTTGTATTTCCAGAGTGGTTGACAGGATACAATGAACCAAACTCAGAAAGTAAATAGAAACAGTGTAAACTAAAACATTGGGGGGGGGGAGGAGGTCGGAAATCTCAAAATCAGTATAAAACATCCCCAACTGAAAATAAATAAATACATTTGCTGTTGATCTAGTAACCATTGGACCCCACCGTCTCTCAAGAACCGCCTACCAATTCCACCAAAAGGAAAGCAAAATATAATGTATGTTTTTTTTTCCTTTTAAAGTGATCATCTAACGCCAAGTTTCATGACTTTTCCATGATCAGAGCAAGCCTCTTTTTAAAATTCCTGCTCGTTTTAACGTCTCGAGTCCCTTCGGCGGGTGAAAAGCAATAATAAGCCTCAATACAATAATAAAAAAAAGAAGGAAAAGACGACGGAGTAGAGGACGGGAGGGCAACAGCAGGGTTTGGGGGAAAGAATTAAAAAATTAAGTTTGTAAATTAAAGTTAGGAAACTAAAAACGAATTACTTTTAAAAGTTATGGTTGCTCCCGCTTGTCGTCCAGGGCAATTTTGAAAAGGTCTCCCTCGTTGTATAAATCGGGCCAGGGAGCTACCGAAATAACGACATAAATACTAGAAATAATATATTTTTCCCCCCTTCACCCTCGGTGTTGTTCAGGGAAGCAGGGATTCTCCCTCCCGCTCCGCCACCGGCCGCCCTTCTTGCGACGTCAACCAGAAGATCCCACCCAGCGCCCGGGCCGCCCTTGGCGAGAGGGAGGCGGGCGCTTCGCTTCGCTTCGGATTAGCCAAGAAGCAAGAAAGCGGATCTGGAACCGGTTCGAGTCGGCTCGCCCTTGGTGGGGGTGGGAGGTGAGTGTGGCGCCGGGGTGCGCACTGACCCACAAAAATAAGGGAAGGCAGGGGAAGCGAGGTACAGGGTGTCCTGCAATCCGGCCCCTCCCCCCACTATCCTTGCAAAACAAAACCGAAATGCACGGGAAGGTGTTTGCTGCTGCGCCTTGAGCGCCGCTCCGGAGCGCACGCTTTTCCAGCAGGGCCGAGAGCGAGCGAGCGAGGGAAGACCCGGAAGACCAGGGATTTTTGTATTTTAATAGCATTTATTTGCATTTCTCCAATCCCCACCCACCCGCCAAAGAGACGCCTCCCAGCTGACGGAAGCCTCGAACTCCCAGCTGATCGGGAAACGGAGGAGGGATTTTCCCCGCAGCCTTTGCGAAACAGCCTTTCCCGTCGTCCCGTCTCCGGAGCGAGAATAAAGCTGATCTCCCGGGGTTTCCATTGAACCCTTGAGACCTCCGTCCTTTCTCTCAAAGTGTTTAAGAGCATAACAGGAATGTGGGAATCACAGGCCAAAAGGGTGTGTTTCACGTGGGTGTAAGTTTGGAAGTGTGATTTTAAACCAGATACAGTATTTGGACAGGGTTCCCCTTTTGGGAGCATGGCGCTCAGAAAATGTGATTGAAAGCCCTCTCTGTAGTAAGAAGAAGTATTTGGAAGCGGTGTGGTTCCAGATGGGCCGTCCAGAGCCCTTGACCCACTCCTGGTGAACACGGAAATAGGTCTCGTTGGTGGGTACTCTGGATTTGTCCAGCAGCCCAGATTTTTTTTTTGCACTCTTGAACAGAGTGCCCTGGCTGTTGGGAAACGGCGCAAAGCCTAGGAAGAGCGGTTTGGTCCCAAAGGAGTAATTCAGAGCCCTTAGCTCTGCAAAAGACCTGCTCATGGTGGGAACAATAGAAACGAAAACTCATTTGTTGGTATGGATTTTTGGATTTTTCGAAGGAGGGGGCCGCCTCTGGGCACTTGGGCTTCCAAACAGTGCCACCGATCCCCACCTTGAACAGGCCGTCCCCATCAGAATCTGAGCATAAAGGTCATTTATTCCAAAGGCCAGCAGTTCCGCAGGCCTTTATAAGGGGCGCTTGTTACTGGCAGCCTATCAAAACACCCTTCGCTTTGCATATGCCCTTTGGAGAACAGCTGGTGTTCTGCTCGGCGCCCTTCCTTATTTGATCTGTCTGACGTGTCAAGAGATAAAGACTTCCCGCTAACCATCCGGGGGATCCTTCTACATGGCCGCCCGCAGCTCTAGCTGCGAAATGGAACCATCTAGATAAACATTGTGAAACCGCAAGGGATTGAGAAACGGGTTTTTCAGCTGAACTAGAAGGCTGTGGAGCTGGAAACGGTAGTCCGGATTGATTCCCCAGGAGTGAACCTGCACTCGACGGGGTGGCTTCTGAGCCGCTCTCACACTCAGCTTGGCCTACCTGGTGAGGTTGTTGTGAAATCGGAGGAAGGGCCGTGCAAGCCGCCGGCACCTCGCCGCGGAGGGAGAAGGTGGGCTTTCAGTAAATACGGCCGGCGGGCTGGTTGGCCTCTGAAGATGCTGGAATAGGTAGACTTTGATGTGCTCCAGCAAAATGCTTCTTGTGGGCCAAGAGTCAATGAAAACGGCCCCCCGGAGCAGCAGAATTGTCCTGCAGTTTTCAGGGAGGTGTGTCTGCTTACTTTTCCACCACAGTAGATTTACTTTTGGGTGTGGGAGGGCTGCCGTTTTTTGCCAGGAAATGCTCAACAAAGCTTATCTCTGTGGCGTTCTTGTTGACCTAACCGTTGAAAAACCACCAACCCCATGATTTCCACCCCCCCCACTCCCTTTGAAAGGTCTTTTCCTTTTTGAAGAAGAAAAGGTTGCCGAGCTAGAAAGGATTTATTCTCCCAGGGAGCGACAGGTAGGTAGGTCTGTCTGCCGGGATTCACAAAGTGTTAGAATAAATAGGGTTTCTTCTGAACTGCAGCCTTTAAAACTGTGGGTGTAACGTTTGTTTTTGCTTTTAGTTTTGAAAGTGGTGGCTCAGATCTTGGGTTTTGTGTTTCCAGTTCAAAGGGCCTTCAAATCATCCCATAGTCCTTTTACACCACCTCCCCCTAAGCTGATGGGGTTTCATTTTGGGTGATAAGAAGTTCCAAATTGGCCTTACCGGGAGGAGATCTCTCAGGCTTTTTGACCTATTTATTTATTAAAAGAGGTGCGACCTGTCTTACAAGTAATGTGTTCAAAGCTTAGAAGCTGTAATATAGGTTGACAGTTGCCAAGAGTTGAACGCAAAGCTTGTATGGGGAACAAAAACTCGCAGATAAGGCCTGGACATGATGATAGATACGGTCAGCCAGTGGAGAACGGATTCTTATTTCTTACCCAGAGGTTGTACGTTAGTGGCGATTGGCCGGGGGGGGTTGGGGTTGGACATTGACAGGGATTGTGCAACCCCCCCCCCCAAGTGGGGAATATGCACTTTAACCAGGGCAGAGTTTGGAACTAGAAGAGGGAGAAAAAGGAGATTGTGTCAAACATTTGGAAGAATGAAAGTGGACAGCGTTTCTGCCTTCTCTTTTTTTGTCGAAACCATTCCAAAATGGTTTGCTCTCTTTATCCTAAGCTCTAAAATTTTTTTTCTATGTTCCATTTCGTGTTTGTTTTGTGCTAGGGCTGTTGACAAATGTGAAGGCGCAAAAGATCTCATTGAAACAAGCCAGCTGATACAATCTCCGCTGAAATATTATAAAATACGGAGATGCAGAGAAGCAGCAGAGAAACTTGAAGGTTAAAAGTGAAAAAAAAAATTGAATTAAAGTTTAAAAACAAAACAAAAACAAAGAGTAAATGTCTACTGGATGACACAGATCTTGATGTAATCATCAACATCTTAGCCAGAAACCCAGCAGTTTCTTGATGTAATCATCAACATCTTAGCCAGAGACTTAAACCCAGCAGTTCTGTATTCTTAGAACGGCAGATCTGGTAGGGACCCCAGAGATCATCCAGTCCATCCCTTGTCAAGGAGGCTCAGAGGGAGATTCGGACTCCTTTGATGTAATCATCAACATCTTAGCCAGAGACTTAAACCCAGCAGTTCTGTATTCTTAGAACGGCAGATCTGGTAGGGACCCCAGAGATCATCCAGTCCATCCCTTGTCAAGGAGGCTCAGAGGGAGATTCAAACTCCTTCTGGCTCTCCAGACAGAGACTTAAACCACCGAGCTATCCAACAGGAATTGATATCTTGCCACATTTCATGACAAAGCTAAAGAGATTTCCTCTGGAAGAGTGAAATGGTCAGAAAATTGGGATAACCTTGTAGGATTTTGGGAACGGATGCATCTGGTTTGTTGTGTTTTCAGTACTTCTAAAAATGTCCCGTGTCTTTTTCCCTTGTTTCTCACCAGCGTCCTTTGTTTCCAAGATGCTTTTAAGAGCGACGGTTTGTGTTGCGTTCTTCTTCCAAGTGGCCCCCATCCTGGCCCGGGAGGCCCGCGGCCACGTTTCCGTGGTCCTCCTGGGGGCCACAGGCGATCTGGCTAAGAAGTACCTCTGGCAAGGTCTGTTCCAGCTTTACCTGGACGAAGTGAGCCACGGGCACACCTTCACCTTTCACGGAGGGGCCCAGTCGGAGCCTGAGCAAGGCCGGAAACTCATGTACGAACGGCTCAAGGACCTCGCCTGCCCGCCGGACGTCGCGCCGGACCGCTGCGCGGTGGTCAAAGACCAGTTCCTCCGGCTGACGGAATATCACCGGCTGAAAACGGAGCAGGACTACGCCGCCCTCGACCGAGAGATTCGAACCGTCCTCGCTCAAGAGGGACTGGAGGAGGCGGGTCGGATATTCTACCTCTCGGTCCCCCCGTTTGCCTACGTTGACATCGCCCGGCACATCAACAGCAGCTGTCGGCCGCCAGCCGGGGCTTGGCTGCGGGTCGTCCTGGAGAAACCCTTTGGCCACGATCTCAAGTCCGGCCAGGATTTAGCCGACGAGCTGAAGGCCGTCTTTCAGGAGGAAGAGATCTACCGAGTGGATCATTATCTCGGCAAGCAGGTGAAGGTCGAAAAGATGGACAAAGGGGCAATTTTGGAACCGAACGGAGGCTGGGAGGGGGAGCAGCACTTGCATGGGGATTGCGCTCTCAAGAACAAACCCCTGTCCAAAAAATGTTTACCTTATTTTTCCTTGTATAAGACTATACTTTTGTCTAAAATCTTGAGGGTCGTCTTATACACAGAAGTAAGCTGAGGGGAGAACAAAAACAAGCAGGGATCAAAGCTATCCTGCAGCGCTTTGATCCCTTCCCCCCTACACTTGCTAAGCCCCACTTAGATTTCTTAATTTTGGATTAGAAAAGTGGGGGGTCGTCTTATACATGGGGGTGTCTTATACATGGAAAAATACGGTATATCGAAACCAGGAGTGAAGACTTTTGCTGTTCCTCGTTTGATTTTTCTTGTCGATGACCCCCCCAGTTCTGAGCCTCTTGTGGCCCATCAGAGGAGCGCGGGAGCAGAATTTGGCCCGGGCTGAGCTGAAGTTCCCACACGCAACCTGAGGACCACCAGGGCGAGCTGCCTCTGAGCATCTACAGAATCCCATGACCTTCCTCATCTACCCAAAGTATCTGTTGCCAGTTTTGCTTGTCCTCGGTGGTCATCCTTCCCCATACTGGCTGAGACCATACCCTTAGGAAGGGATGTTTTTAAAAAAACAGTAAAATTTAAGGATAGAAGAGAAACTTCTATCCTTCGGGGGGGGGGGGGACAACTTGTCCTTTATGCATGGGATTCCCGACTGCTTCCTGTCAGAAACGGAACGCTGTCTTAAGCCAGGTTTCCCCTTCTAGTTCCTTCTGGACATTTTGGCCTCAAACCCCATCCGCCTTGCTTCTTGGGTGTGGCAGCCGGGGAACATGGATGTTGTTGTCTGAAATGTCTGCATGGCTTTCTGCTGGCGAAAGCCATTTGCTCCCATCCAAGGGGTGGGTGTGATGGTTCTATCATCCTTTGCCTCACGGGTTGTATAGTAGGGGTATAGCTTATTTCTTTTCAGCTTGTTTTGGGTTTTCAAAAAAGGAATAAAATCACATGTATTTTCAACCCCCCCCACGCTATCAGAATCATAAAGGCCAGCTATTTTATTTAGCGATCCTTCCCTCTTTTAGGACCTGGTTTGCTTCTTTGCCTATAGGTTCGAGTGTGTACGTGTGAAGGCAGGGGGAGAAAGGGTCTGGATCAAACCCACCTCTTTCCACCCGATCTGACCACGCCAAGGTCAGAGGCTTGGATTTTGCTGATGAATCAACCTTTCTCCCCCCCCCTCGTCCGCTCTCGCTCATATCAGGTCTGCCAAGCGAGAGATTTCTAAGTGAGGCTTTTAATTTGATCAAAACGTGCGGAGGGTGTACTTTTTGATCTCTTTCTTCCTGGCGTGGGAAGTGGTGGTGGTGGAAGGAGAGAGGGAGGGGGGTGCGGTGGAGATCATTTTGCAAGAGGGGCAGAGTCGGCGAAAGGGAAGGCGACCCAGAGCAGGGAGTGAAATCCCATCACTGGGGACAGAAGGCGGGTCCGAGTCCTCGGATCTGGGAGCACGTCCTGGAGAGCACAGCGAAAACAGACTCTGCTGCGCTTTTGCTGTACGGAGGGATGTGAAAAGACAACTGTGCCTCTGATCGGGTGCAGAGTGCATGGGAGACGAGGCCACGGTTGACCCCAGACACACGAAAGCCACACTCCTGCCATTTTTTCGTTGGTTTGGTTTGCTCTCATGGGCCCGGTCCCACTGGTCGATCCAGAAATGACAGGCCCTTCGTCATGACCTGGATGCTAATTATATGTTTGTTAAGTTCTTTAGAAAGGAGAGAGAGGGCTAGCACTGAGGGCCCTCAAGGAAAACATTTGCCTATATAGGCACAGGCATCATTTGAGCAGTGGGAGAGCGGAGGCAGGTTTCACTGGATCAAAGCTCCACGCTTTATTCAATGGTGTGGACAACATCAGCATCCATCATCTCCCTGAGGCTTCTCCTTTCCCTCTGAGCTTAGCTATGATCCTCATGGTACAAATGGGAGAAACATCCGAAGAAGACTGGAAGTTGTCCATGTCACCATGCAAAAGATTCAAGAGTAGGTCAGAATGGGCAATTAAGAGCCATTAGCTTTAGAAAAGACCTGTTCCTTTTTGTTTAATATGGCCAGACCTAAATGCTTCCTTTTTGGGGGGGGGACTTTCCTAGCTGGGGTGGGGTGGGTCTGATTATGGGGTTTATCAGGGTGATGCCTGCACTTCCAAATGTATCACTATACTACTACATTTGAGGCTCACTGCTTCCATGTTTGCAGCTGTGTGTTTGTTCTACCCTAGCCCATCATTCCCAAGTTGTGGGATGCTGCTGACCATAGCACCGTCGGTGATGGCGAGTGAGCCTCGAGAAAATGCAAACCCATCTTGCTTGCATATTCTCTTTTCAAGGGGGGGACTTTTTTGAGTGGGAATCTGTGGGGGTCTCGCTCATTTCTCCTGCCCCTTCTTTCATTCCTAGTTTTCATTGCCTTTTATAGCTATGTAACCGCATTGGGTCCCCTTATGGGGAAAAAGGTGGCCTATATATAAAACAAACAAACAAATAAATGTGTCTTTTCCTCTTAAAACCCAAACAACCCTTCTTTTGAAGGGTCACTTCTTAACACTTTCACAAGCATTCCAATAAAAAAAAAAACAACTTCTGAGCTTTTATAGGTGCCCTGATTCTTCCAAATGCTTCAGTAAAACTGTTTTCAATAATAGCTATGAATATATAATACGGAACACTTCATTAGAACGTGTTTCCTCCCCTCGAGTCAAATAGTTTATGTGAAGTATAGCGGGCTGTGAAACCTTGTGTGAAATATGTATATAGTACATAAACGAAAGAAAATAAATGGACACGGTTATCTCTATAATTTCCTTTCCAACCAAGAGTGTAGCACATTCACCATTTAATGGGGTTTTTGATCATATGAAAGTTGTATCTTCACTGACCTCCGTTTCCTCTTTATTTATTTCTATTGTTTGTTTGTTTTTTCATTTTTTTCTCCGAACCCAGGCGGTGGCCCACATCCTGCCGTTCCGGGACCAGAACCGGCAACATTTGAAACCGATCTGGAACAGACATCACGTGGAAAGGGTGGAGATTGTCTTGAAGGAGACGGTGGATGTGAAAAGTATGTGGGTCGTGACTTAAGTGCTGGGGGTAAGAGAGGGCCCCTTCTAGAGGTGGAATGAGGTGTTTTCAATAATAGCTATGAATAATACCATTACGTAAGGTGGAAAATGTATACCGTTACAGATTTACACTAAGCTGCACCCTTATTGCAGGAAATTCTAGCCACTGACCTTATCCTGGTTTGTCGTGTGATGGAAAAGCTCATTAATCCCAGTTAGACCAAAGTTCCATCTAACCTGGTTTCCTATTTCCAACATGCTTTACCTGGAAGGCCCCAAAGCCGACCCCACCCCATGGTTTGTCCTTAGGGTCTGGGGTCTAGAATTAACGTGACATGGGTGACTAGCTTTTGAGACCGATGCTTTTTCAATTTAAAGCTGAAAAGAAAGAAAGAAAAAAAGAAAGCAGAGTTTTTCCTTTAGATTTTGCCCGAGAAAGAAAGAAAGAAAGAAAGAAAGAAAGAAAGAAAGAAAGAAAGAAAGAAAGAAAGAAAGCACAGTTTTTCCTTTAGATTTTGCCCATTGCACTGCTGAATATTGGCCATGGAGGGACAGAGAAGCCAGCCGTTCACTGTAAGACAAGATGCACAGAGAGTGTGCACCTTGTTTTGAATGTGATTTTGTACTCCCAGAAGTGGTAATCAACTTAAAAAGAAGCTGCATCCTCCATAGATACCTGGTGTATGAAACTTGGTGAATTGATGCATTGACTTGGGTACGACAGAGCAAACCTACGTCCCTACAGACTCTTGGGGTCTTGGGGTGACGTCCCCCCCGATCTATTGTTCCTGGGCTGGTGGAGAAGAGACGGCAGGTTTTCCTGAATGATGACGCAGGATCTTCCCTTTTCTCCTTTCTCTCTTTCTCTCTGCCCCCAAATTTCCAGACCCTTCGGACAATCCTGGCCTGGCCTTGCCGCGAATTCAAGGACAGGGCTCCGTTTGCTGCACCAGCACTTTTGCTGCAGCGCCGGTTGCACCGTCCGCCTGCGCCATCCCAGAAACACTCGCCTGGCGCCCAGCCCTGTGCAGCTCTGGAACGCGTCCCTCTCTCTCTCTCTCTCTCTACATTGCATTTATTAAAACCTGGGAGGGCCTCTTTTCTTTATTGGGAATATTACAATCATAATTTTGGCCAAACCGACCCAGTTTCCCCTTCTCCGGGGAGAAAAGTGGGAATCAAGGATGGGGACACCCTGCCTTCTCTCTCCCACCTCCCCCCAAACATCATCTCTGAGGGCAATCCTTCATTTCCTGACACTCTCCCTGTATTCTGCTTGCGTGGCTTGCTACCCTGCCAAAGGATGTGCCACATTGATTACGTGAATTTATGCCTCGTGGATCTGGTGCAGATGGTTTTTCTGGTTCCAAACACATTACATTTTATTTATTTAGTTAGTTATTTTGGAAGGGGAGAGAGTGGTTGCACCGTCTGCTGAGATTTCCCAGAGGAGAAACGGGGGGTGGGGGTGGGGGCTTAAAGATTAATGGCCTTTCTTCAGCTCCTCCCTCCCCCTCCCCCCCAATCATCCCACCACCCTCTGTGTTTGATCACCCAGTCAAAGAGAAGCTAAGAAAAATGAGCCAGACGACGGAAAAACTTGGGCAGGGAAAGCTAACCTTCCCGTTCTCAAGGGCACTGCAGTAAAAAACCTGAGCGGGCAAGACTCCGCTCTCGGGCTCTCCAGGCCGATGCTGAGATTTTTGCCTCTTTTAATCCTTTTATTTATCTTCGGTGGTTCCGTTTCTCATTCCCGCTTCCTCTGGGGCATGTCTTTCCGGGATCCAGCGATGTGCCACCGTTCTGTTCAGGAAGAACGAGCCCCAAACCTTTTCTTTCTGGGGTTTCGGGTCAAAGCGCCACATTTTGCCACGGCTGGTGGTTCGATGGACCGATGGGTGGGTGGGTTTCGAAAATGCACCCCTTTAAGAAAACGGAGTTGTGGCCTTTGTTTATGGAAATATAAACTCCACAGCTTTGTGAGGCAGGTTGTATATCCTCACAAGGGTGCGTACAAAGCCACACCAGGAGAAAGATGGTGACATGCAGTGAAAGTGGAAATCTTAATTGCCGTTCTTATAAACAAGTTGTTGGGGGTTGGGGAAATGATGGAGGTGTGGCAATTAATGAAATTGATTAAAAGGAGGCGGCATTTAAAACACCAGAAGAGCTAAGAACGTGTGCTGGATGACCCCAAAGGTACAGACAGTTGGTTTAGCTTTGGAAAGTTCAGGAGCAAAATATTCGTGTAAAGGTGTCGTACTGAGCTCATATTTCCCAGTATTGATTGCTGACGTACAGCCCTCGTAATTGACTAGATGTTTGAACTAGTCGCCTCTTAAAGTAGCAGTATGGTTTATATCCCAGAGCCGAGAAAATGACTTTAAATAAAATAATTTGTTTCTCTTCCAAGCTTGCCTTTATGGTTCAGTTTCTAAAAAAAATAACTCCGTGCTGTCCTGTAATTCAAACGGAACGAGAATGAATACTTTTTAGTTTCCTTTCCGCAAAACGTCGGCCGGAAAAGTAACACTTTCTCCTTATTAAAATCAAACGGAGATGGTTGTTTTTGATCCTTTTTCACAGAAGCCTCTCACTGCGACAAACTGTTGACCTCCAGCACAAAATATACATAAGGTGTGAAGACACACAAACCCACAGATGCACACCTGTAACAGTAATTTGAAAACAGTTGCAGTTATGCCCAGCAGCATCTGGTGGATCTGGGCTGATACGATCCACAAAATTTTCCCAATTTCCTTTACTGTTGCGATGTAACTTAGTTACACCATGATTATTGGGGGGGGGAATGGAATTAATTACAGGCAACTTGTTATTTATACAACCAATGACTTCCGAGTTCTGTCACATTATACGATGGAACTGCAGAATAAATGTGCCACCTTGGGTCCTTTGAAGAAGTAAGGCAGGGTAAAAAATATTTTAAATAAATAAATATGTCAGTTTCCTACATGTAGATGGCAATATAAAGTTGTAAAAGACTATTTCCTTCATTTCTTCTTCATTCACTGGTCAAGTGTTTACTATAAGCTCCTATCTATGTTTACACATTCTAACGTAAACTGTTTTTTTTTTTCAAAGCTGCAAACCTTACATGTACTTTTACTTTAGCACCAATTTTCCTGCAATTCACATTGTGGATTTGCTTCCTTGACAAGCTTGTCTCGCTGATTAATCTTCTCACCTCTGGGTATGTTGTGGATAGATCGCACCAGCTTCTATGAAGAGTACGGGGTGATCCGGGACGTCCTCCAGAACCACCTCACCGAAGTGTTGATGTTACTGGCTATGGAGCTTCCCGAAAACATCAGCAACACCGAAGACATTCTAAGAAGCAAGCTTCAAACCTTTGCCTCGCTCCGGAGCCTGGAGAAAAGCAGCGCTGTGATTGGCCAGTACGAAGCGTATAACAGCCACGTGAGGGAGGAGCTTCAGAAGGGGCCGGACTATTTCAGCAGCACGCCGACCTTTGCAGGTAGTTGAGGAACCCACCGGAGGGGTAGAATTCGCCCAAATATTTTGTGGTTTCTGCCAGACCCCATCTGTTTGATTCCCTTTGGAGGCTTCAGAAGAGGAAGGGAGACATACGGGTGGATTTATCCTATTTCTACAATGCTAGACAAACCGATTTCCCAAAACGGGGCTTTATTTATTATAATTTTTTTCCTATCCAGTCTGTGGTGAACTCAGGGCATTGCGTGAGATTTCCCCTCAATCCCCTTTTTATCTTCACAACAGTCCTACGAGGTTGGTTAGCCTATGTGAGGATTTGGACCCCATTCTTTTCCATCCTAATCTGGCACTAGACACTGTACCACATTTCCTCTATACAAGTCTGTGTGTCTTCTAAAGTTTCCTCCCTCAGGATTTACTCTGGAAAAAAAAGGCGTTGAGAAGGATTGGTTTGGGACTTATAATTCCCAGAATCTCCCAGTGAGTTCAAGCTGGCCTGCATCGCGCTCCTCTTCCCTCACTTTGCCACAGCCCTCTGAGGTAGAACCAGCTGGAGCAGTGACTAGCTCTTAATTAATAGTGCAGCATTTTAGTAAAGTACCCCATAATAGAAGAGGAAGTAGAGAAGACACGCACGTGCAAAAGCTAAAAAGAAAATCTTGCACATATTGCGTAAAGTCAGCTTAAGTCTCATGTTCCCATCAGGTTTCCTGTTCTTCATTGCTAATTGTCATCTGTTAATTTCATTTATATTTATTCTTTTGCATCAACCAAGCAGGGGGGGACTTTCCCACAAACATTTTTTGTCCGGTGGAGGGGAAATCTTCCCTACCCTGTTACCATAGTCTCTCGAGACTGAAGGATGCCTATGCTTATATATATATATGGGTCTCCATTCTGCTTTATGGGTCTCAACGACAGCCCTGTAAGGTAGATCTGTCTGAGCCCGAGAAGAACAGGCTCAAGGTAGCTTTGAGATGTTTTCACGGCTCAAAATCCCCCCAAGGATCCTGGCTTGACATTCTTAAAAGATGGCTGAGTTACCTCATGACTGGATAGCTCAGGGGTCGAGGTCTCTGGCTGGGGAGCCGGAGGTTGGGAGTTCGAATTCCCCCACTGGGCCTCCTTGACAAAGGCTGGACTGGATGATCCGAGAGGGTCCCTTCCAGCCTGGCCGTTCTGAGGTTCTAAGATTGTGATCGGGAGCCTTTGCCTCTCCTTTGCGTCTCGACCCACCCGCCGAACCGGTTCCTCTCTCGTTTTTCAGGTGTGCTGGTTCAGCTGGACAGCCTCCGTTGGGAAGGCGTTCCCTTCATCCTCACCTCCGGCAAAGTCCTGGATGAACGGGTGGGCTACGTCCGCGTCCTGTTCAAGAACAGGGCCTATTGTGTCCAGCGGGAGACCGCGCAGGACCCCGAGCTCAGCCAGTGCAAACCCAAGCAGCTGGTCTTCCACATCGGGCAGGGCGAGCTGAACTCCCCGGCCGTCCTGGTCAGCCGCAACCTCTTCAAGCCGGCCATGCCGAGAGGGAGCTGGAAGGAAGTCCACGACCGCCCTGACCTGCGCCTCTTCGGACAACCGCTGTCCGATTACTACGTCTACGTTCCGGCAGTGGAGAGGGACGCTTATTCTACCCTGATCTCCCGGATCTACCATGGCCAGAAGGACGTCTTCATCACCACCGATAACCTGCTGGCCTCCTGGGGTTTTTGGACTCCTCTGTTGGCCAGTTGGGCTAGCGAATCTCCCCGCTTGTACCCCGGGGGCCGGGAGAACGGAGCCCTCTTGGATTTCGAGGTGGTGGGCGGGGAAGTCCGGTTTGTGACGAAGGAGGCGGTAGAGGTGATGACGACGGCCAGGGGCGAGCAGGCGCCCGGAGAATACAAGACCATCCAGTCCAGGTTTCGGCAAAGCCAGCTGGTGACCGCCTGGTCGGAGGAGCTGATCGGCCGGCTGGCGTCGGACATAGAAGCGGCGGCCGCCGGGGCCATCCGGCGGTCTGGGGCGTTCCACTGGGCGCTGTCCGGCGGCTCGAGCCCCCTAGCGCTCTTCAAGCAGCTGGCTTGGCATCATTACAGCTTCCCGTGGAAGCAGACCCACGTGTGGCTGGTGGACGAACGCTGCGTACCCCTCGCCGACCCGGAGTCCAATTTCGGCAACCTGCACGAGCACCTTCTGCGCCATGTCCGGGTCCCCTACTTCAACGTCCACCCCATGCCCGTCCACCTCCACCAGCGCCTCTGCGTGGAGGAGGACCGGGGGCCGGAGCTCTACGCCCGTGAGATCGCCGCCCTGGTGGCCAACTCCAGCCTGGACCTGGTGCTGCTCGGGGTGGGCCCGGACGGGCACACGGCCTCGCTCTTCCCCCACGCGGCCGTCGGCCTGGAAGGCGGGGAACCAGACGTGGTGTTCACGGAAAGCCCCATCAAACCTCACCAGCGCATGACCTTCTCCCTGGACCTCATCAACAAAGCCAAACGGGTCGCGGTGCTCGTCTTAGGGAGAGGCAAGCACGACATCGTGACGGTGGTCAGCCGGGCAGGCCACGAGCCTCAGAAATGGCCCATTTCGGGCGTGAAACCCAGTTCCGGCCAGCTGGCTTGGTACGTGGACTATGAAGCTTTGCTGGGATGAAAGCCGCCACCGCCTCCTCCTCCTCCTCCTCTTCCTGGTTCACCCACCTTTCTAGTCCTTGTTCCCGGCACTAACCGTGGTCTGTTTTGTGGTCTGGAAACCTAAGAAGCTGTTAATGATAATAATTGAAGGTGACTGGTCTCCCTCCAGCTCAGGACCTTGACAGGCTTTAGACATGCCCCCAAAATCTCTTTCTACCCTGGTTCCGGTTTTGGGGAGTCAGTGGCCAAAAACATCAAATACAGTAGGACCTCCACTATCCACCGAATCAGTATCCACTGATTCATTTATCTGCTGCCTGAAAATGAACAGAAAACCTCAGAAATATATTTTTATACCTATTTCCAGGGTGTATTTACCAGAACTGGCCAGGAGAGGGAGACAGAGACCACACTGTGTACAGTCTTTGCGCCTTCCCTGTTTTTCAGCCTGGGGAGGCTTGGAACCTCCGGAGGTTTGTCCTGTCTCTGCACATGGAGGTTGCATTCTGCTAGTGTGCCCAGATGTGCAACCTCTCCAGGTGTTCTTGGATCACAGCTCCCATCAGCCTGCACTCTTTACAATGCTGACTGGGGCAGATGGGACTTGGAGTCCAAGTATACCTAGGAGATCACAAATGTTCCACTTTTTGTTCTAATCCTATTACATTAAAAAAGAAAGAAAGCTATCTAAGCTGGTGACTTTTACAACATCCTGTGGCTCAGAGTTCCACTGGCTAATGATCCTGACACTCCCAAGCAAGGAGCGTCTGTAAAAGAGAGCTAGCTACCTTTCTGAGATGCCCTATAGCAAAAGGGGGGGGGGAATCTCGCCCACCTGCCACCAAAGTATTTTGGACAACAAGTTCCACAATTCTTTACGACTGGCAGTGCAGCATTTGGGGAATGCATAGACTACCACCCCTCGGGTTCTGCCCATCAGTGAGCGCTGTGTGTTGCACACAGAGACACACAAATTTATATTGCATTTTTTTAAAAACCTACAAACAGCTCATCTTTAAGTCAATTATACAGACTTTGCATTCTCTGCACCTTCTGAGAATTGTAATGATTCTCCCCACCCCACCCACCCCCAAATCCTGGGATTTCCCTCCTTTTGCAAACAGACTTGGAAGGATGCAGAAAGCTAGGATTGCATGGTGATGTAACACAGCCCTGGACATGCCTAGGCTACAGATGTTTCCATTTTCTTGGATGAGCTTAACTCTACACTGGATAATGCAGTGATGACGAGATTTTGCTCCCTTCTTTGAACCCAATTTTATGTTCCTAACGTTGCAGGGAGAGAAATCAGTGAGAGGTGTACTAAATGGAGATGGCCACAAGAGGGTGCTGTTGGACAAGTTTTGGATGTTAGCCGCAAGGGCTTCCCCCTAACTCAGAATGGAGTTGATGGCATATGATAGAAATTAACAGTAGTAAATACGAAGGGGGAATTAAAATAACCTTTAAGATCCTTTCCAAATTTTGCGACTCTGTAATATGAAAATGTGGAAGCCCGGTGGAGGTTAGCTATTTCTTTGCTGGGCCTCAGGTCAAGCCCAGAGCATCCTGGGGCCATGTGAGCCATCCAGGTCTGGATCCAGCCCAATGGGACCAACCCAGTACCTGAAAGGTCAACCCCATGGAGTTGAATGGGGCTTACGGCCACACAGGGAAGCTCAGGGTTGTAACGCAAGCTTCCAAAGCAAACGGGGTGTAGGCAGAACAGCTGAGAGGCTGTTGATGCATGCTCCCCCCCGCATTTAAAACTGGAGGTGTGCGTTAAAATAAAAAAATTCTATACCCAGATGTGAATTGAAATATTTCTCCCACTTCTGTGTGCAGATTCTGGCCAGTGCTTTTTTTAAAAAAAAACATTGCAGTGGTGTAAAAGCCGCCTTGATCTTTCATCCTGTTCCTCTTCTCTACCAGAGAGTCCTTGATTGAAAGGAATAGCAACTCGTGCAGAGATAGGACAGGCACTCCTTGGAGGTGGAGAAACGGTGGGGCGTCTCTGCTACCGGGTGAAGCCTTTGTCCCTGGCGTGAAGACACGGCAGGCAGATGGAGTGAGGCTAAAACGTGATCCTGTAGTCAAAGCAGTGGATTGTGGAGAGACAGCCATAGACTCATTCAGGAGGCCAAGAGGGGCTTTAAATTCTGTGCTTTCTAAAGCTCTTCACGGTGACCAGATGAAACAGCGTGTAAAAGTTTTGATCAGGTTTTATTTTGTTTTTAGGCAACACACTGGAAATATTTTTTTAATTAAAAAGTTTTTGTAAATGAACATTTTAAAATAAAGGTTTTTCACTCTTGCATTAAAGAAAGAGAAATGTTCTGTTTGTATACATCTGGACTATTTTGCTGGGTGGGGGAGAAATCTCACTGGCGAACAACCACGGCCGTGTTAACGTGTGGCATTTTGCCGGCAGAACTTATGCGATATCTATTACGCAGGCGTAGATCAACGATAGGATTCCGGCTGTTGAATCAGCCTGTCTCTGTGAGACACCATCCTCGGTTTATCCCTGTGAGGCTAAATCTGTTTGCTCGCCCCAGATAAGAGCTGATCCCCACAATCAGGAGAACTTTGATATGTGGGCACTCACATAGGGCTCGTTTCTTCAATGGAGTGACTCTAGCTGGGGGCCGAAAAATAGATTTAGTCCATAACAGCCCTGCGATGTAGGTCAGACTGAGGGGGGGCCTTCCCCAGGGTCACTCGGTGAATTTCGCATCCAGAGGAAGGGATCAACCATATCCCAGTCCAACGCTAACCATTACACCACGTTGCCTCTTTTAGAGGCATGCTGGCCGGGGAAAACGCCAGGGTTTTCTGTGGGGTGCTTCTAAAAGAAATGCATTAAATAATAAAGAAAATAATATGTAAATTCTGGAACAAGCGTGCAGGTATTCAGAGAGCTGTTAGAACCGATGGAGATCCTAAAAAATATTCCAGGTGTGTGGGGGAGGAAAAGCAGGAGCCCGTCATGAGCTGGCAGATTGAAAAATGTCCATCCATCCATCCAGAAATGTTCACAAGCAGAGTTCGGGAACGCTTCCATGTTGGACTCCAAATCCCATGATCCTTTTGCCAGCATGCTAAGGGAGGGGGGATTCTGGGTGATGCAACCCAGTCAAGTAATGTTCCAAAGATCTGCTTCAGCACAAGAAATATCGGATTTCAAACTAGTAAAAGGCTGGGTTAAGGTTTTTGGACTATACTTCCTATCATCCTGAGTATTAAGACCGGGGTTGATGGGCACTGTAATCCAGCAGCTTCTCAAATGCCACGTACTCACCACCCTATATCTAGAGCTGCTGGGTGGCTCAGTAGTTTAGGTCTCTGGCTACGGAGTCCGAGGTTGATGGTTCGATTCCCCCAAAGGGTCTCCTTGGGCTGGACCTGATGATCCGTAGAGTCCCTTCCAGCTCTGCCCTTCTAAGATGATTGCGATGATGATATATATGCACACACAAAATTCAATAACCTAAGTACAAATTACCCCATTGATTAAAACAAACCCACAGGGGTCTATATTTTGCTTGATCCGTGGATTTGTTGACGCTTTTTCCTGGCCATGGGGTCGTGTTTAGAATCTTATCCACAGACTGGCATTCATGTTTTTAAACCATTTTTATTTCTTTTCCTTCGGGACCCATGTACAAGTATTCTTTTTCTTCAACGGGTTGTGAATTGCGAAAGCTGGAACAAACCCATCCATCACCACCACCCCGCCCCGGGGGTGATTTCGTATTCTCCCTGCAAAAGAGATAGATCGGACTGGACACAGAGACAGCTTTTCTTTTCTCTCGGACGTCAGGGGCACACGGTGACTCCTGCTTTCCTGTCCACACGCACGTTTTGGGGCTTTTATCTCTTAAATGAACAGCCCAAGCCGAGGATGTGCAACCGAGCAAGGTCGGAACGACACAGAAAAACAAAGGGAAGTTACACCCACATGGACTGTGAAATCTCTCTCTCTCTCTCCTTTCAAGCAGTCCTTCTAGAATCTAGGCCTTTAGGAATCTAGCCGCCTCTTTGTCTCCCGAGACAGAACAATCTGGTCCGTTCCATCCAAAGATAAGCGCCAAAGATTTCTTACGCCACAGAAACCAGAGAAAAAAATATCCAAGGATCATCTCGAAAAGGAGTCTCAAAGATAAGATTCTGGGATGGTATTAACCTGATTGATTGATTGATTATAAAATGTTATTTATATAAATAAACAGGCATTCTATAAATAGGTCATTTTATATATAAAATATTTGTATAAAATTCACATATAAAGAAATAAAATGTATAGACATAGAGATAAATACAAATTCTCTAATACATATTTTAATTCATATTTCTTTTATCTATCATCTTTCTCCCCAAAAGGGATCCAATGTAGCTCACAACAATTTAAACAATACAATAATAACAGTTTAAAGTGCCATACCAAACTTTTTTAAAAAACAATTAAACAGGAAGGAGATTTTTGCAAATAGGCTGGACTGTCAGAAAGACAAGCATGGAGGTCCTCGATCAAATCAAGCTTGAATTACTTCGGGAGGTATCAATGGTGAAGCTAACGGTGTCCCACTTGGGCCCATCAGGAGAACTCAAGTTTCACTGGAAAAGACAAAAGTACCAGGAAAGTAGGAGGACCCAATACGAGACGGACTGACTCAAACATTTAAAAATATTTAAATTAAGAGAGAGAAATAGTGTGTGTGTTCCCTGCACATTTATCCTTAAAATGCCTTCCTGAACAGGAAAACCAGGTACTAATTACGGTATTCATGCTGGAGGTCCAGAATGAGTGGTGTTAAAAGTTGTGGCCACCAGATGGAGCGACTGTGGGAAAAGGTTAAGGCCCTCAGGGTTGGGGAAAATTCAGCCCTCCAGATGTTCAACCCAGAGAGAGCAAAATGTGGCCCTCCAGATGTGTTACCGGAGTGTGATGTTCAGCCTCCCTTTCTGCCCCTTGGCTCTGCGGGGGGGGGGGTTGATAGGACTTGTAGTCTGACAACCTCTGGGGAGCACCGTTTGGCTCCACCGCCTCAAGGGGCCGAAGAAGGCTGTCGTCTGTAGTGTTCTGATAGACTTCCCCTGAAGAAGGAGGTTCCACATAGATATCACAGCGGGTAGCTATTAGATCTGTTTCTCCCAGGAATTGGGCACCCTATATATTTGAATATTTATTCTAAATGTACATAGGCCATGAAATCAGAAAACAGAGACTCAGAAGGGCAGGTATGAAGGAAATAGTGAAAGTCGTCCAGAATAAAGACGTCGTCCTGTGAGGAAGATCATACATGCTCCTCTAACTACTATGTATGAGAGTTTGACAACGAAGAGAGCTAACAGATATATATATAGTTGGTGATGATGATAGGAACAGCTGAAGGTGCAGGAAAAGAGGAACAGTGAATGTGAGATGGATTAACTTGAGTTTCTAAGACCCGAAGAGGCCAGACCTGCCGGACTTCAGCTTTAAAAAAATCACATTTAATGTGGATGCCACTGTGATGTAGCAGCCCCAACGGGGGAATATTGGCTTCTATGGGTTTGTTTCCAAGTGCATAGGATCAGGGTCCTTGCAGAGCTAGGAGTGCCCCTGTCATTATTTATTTTATTGTATTTCCTATGGGTTTGTTTCCAAGTGCATAGGATCGGGGTCCTTGCAGAGCTGGGAGCGCCTCTGTTATTATTTATTTATTTATTTTATTGTATTTTATTTATTTGATTCGTATCCCGCCCATCTGGTCTATATACGACCACTCTGAGCAGCTTCCAATATAATATAATCAGTTAATAAAAACACATAGTTGCATAAAATTACGTAAATCTAGAAATGAAAATGTGAAAACCAAGAAAATAAAATAAAGGTAAATAAAGGAGAAATAAGAGAGAATCAAGTACTATTGGCTGTTCCCCGGATCCACCAGCCCTTGCAACGTCTTCTTTCTCCCCCCCCTCCACCTTTCCTCCAGAAAACAGAAGCAAAAGTTCTAGCCAGCCCTATTGATTTCCATAGGATTTGCTCCCCCTCGTCATGGACTTCCACGGGATTTCCTCTACACGCGCGCCAACCCGCTTTGAAAGGAGACGCTCCCCGCGCGCCCGCCCCCGCCTCCGGCCACTTTCCTTCGGCTTCT